GGAATAAAGAGGTTAATATAAAAAATATTTTTTGTCCGATTCATCGATTAATTTTTAAAATAATCATTAGTTGCAACCCTAGATGTGACATTAGGGGGTAGTCGCTCTCACTTACATTACTGTATAAGACATTTGTTCTTCAACGCTCCCAAAGCTAGCTGCATAACTTGGACCCTTTAATATACAATGGTAAGGGTTTTGATCTATCAGCCTTAGTTGGTTGAAAAGTTATTTTAACTTAAATTCAACATTTTAATACTCATAAGGAAGCAGTTAAGTGTACATCATAGAAATTGATACCAAGGACACAGTAGGGCCTGGCATGACGGTGCCATTCAAAGTGTGTTAAATACTGCCAGAGGTTCTTTACTGCCCCTAAACAGAACTATGTTGCAAAGTCATTGACATTTTGCCCCTTAAGCTGTGTATATTGGTTTGTGCTTCATAACACCCCAATTTCATGCTTGGATTAAGGCACAGCAAGGCAGTGCCTCTCAAAGCTTGTCCTGTTGTTCAAAATGCTAATTGGAATCACCTGGAGAGTGAGCAAAGGCATTGAATTCATACAAGTCTCAGTAAAAGACACAAACCACTATGAATGACTGGGATGTCACAAAATTTGAAGTCATGAGCTTAAAAAAAGTCTAATAGCAAGAGAGATAAGGCTTAAAAGAGACTAAGAAGAACATTAGCTTACTGTGCAGCTGTGTTTGAACTTACCCTACAAGAGACACAATTAAGAGGGAAATGTTTGCACAGGTTAAGCATGCTGTTAAAACCATACATCTGGGCAATTAAAAGGAGCTACCCGAGGTGTTCGGAATTATGTCATAAAAGTTAACTGGTCTTCTCTGCTCAACAAAGCTCCCACGTCTCTCCATGTGCATCGGCTCTGTTTCTGTTACAAAACCTCTCAAAAAGAGCCAACAATGTTGTCTGCATTAGAGGCTATAGTTTATGAACCTTAAGCTCTAGCTGAGACCTGTACCCTCACAAATAGCATTTAACAGATGGGCCCTATTGTTGAGATCCGTCCTGCTGATTCACTGCTATGGAGGATTTAGAGGTACATCAATTTCGCTGCACCACAATTACTCAAATTAGTGGTAACTTTGATGCTTTGTTTTTTTTTTTTTTTTGTCTTTGATTTGCACTAGGCTGCCCGGAGGGAAAGAAGGGGGAATTCATTACAAGCTTGTTAGACGCCCTTACAACCGACATGGTGCAAGCCATAAACTCACCAGCCCCCTCAGGTGGTGGGAGGTAAGACAAAACTAAGAGCAACATAATGATGTCCTTATATTTTGATGCACAACTTTTTGTATTTATACTGTTCGCTATTCACCTGTGTGTAATTCTATATAGATAATATTTTAAATTAGTAAATCATGTGCTTACCTTTAAATACTTAATGCTTTCATGTGTCCTTAATATGTTGTGATAATAAACAATAACTGCTTGCATGTTTTTAATTGGCAATCTATGTTTGAACTATATGTTCTGATTTGAAGAAAGGTTTAAATTTAGCCTTATTTGAGTATAGGCTGCCTTCTCAAATTGAGGCTATAGCAGGATAATGTAGTCAGTTGCCAATTAACCTAAAAGTTATGTATTTGGACTGTGGGAGGAAGCCACAATACTCCAAGAGAACACACGCATGAACGGGGAGAGCATGCATATTCAATGCAGAATCTAACCTGGACAATTAGTGTTTAAAAATGTTATATTTTTGTCTGATAACAAAATGTATTTGACACTGTCAGATTTGCCATAAATATGACAGAAAATAAACAGCAACAGAAACTGGTAGTTTTGCCTCATGTTTACATACAGTCCACTGTGTATTTCAAGTTCTCCCTCTATCCATTTCTAGGTTTGTTGAACCTGATCCCAGTCACACTCTGGAGGAAAGGGTGGTGCATTGGTACTTTGCCCAGCTGGATAACAATGGTAGCAACGATATTACCAAGAAGGAACTCAAACCTTTCAAGAGGTACCTGAAGAAGAAAGCAAAACCTAAGAAATGCGCCCGCAAGTTCACCGACTACTGTGATCTGAATAAGGACAAGGCTATTTCGCTGCAGGAGCTGAAAGGCTGCCTTGGTGTCAGCAAAGAGGGTAAGACTATAGGAGGTTTTCTGAGGAAGAGTACGTTGAGGTGTCTACGTTTTATTGATAAAGATTGTTAAGATTTAGTAATTTGTGTTAATATATATCCTATTGGAATTAATTTAGAAAAAAAAGCATAGAATAAATTATTTCAATTTCAGTGGCTTATTCTACAAAAAATACAAACCTATTTGATTAAGTCTGTGGAGAGAAAAAATAATGCTGAGAAAATAACTTTTATCAATAGTTGCAAACTTATCGCAAAAGGAGTTAATTTTATCTTTGACTCCAATATTTGGCAAGACTGAAGCATACAAACACAGAACACAGCTCTGTCTTATAGCATAATCTGTCTTGATCACCCAGAGCCCAAAATGCCTGATATACTCTTATCTTCACTTTACTCCACAGGATTTAATCAGGATTTACATCCAGAAAGTGTTGTGTTTTAGCCTTATTCCAAATGTTCTCAAAATTTTTAACCAAGTACCTCATTATTAAAATATGAAAAGAAATATAGATTTTTTTAAGTTATTGCAGAAGAAAAACTAAGAAATCATATTTATGCAAGTATTCATAGCCTTTGCTCAGTACTTTGATTATCTATCTTTGGTAGCAGTTAAGTTTTTCTTAATAAAATGCCATGGAAAACAATAAAGATATGATGCCATAAGATTAGGGCTGCCATCTTTAGGCATTTAGGCCTTGTCTGCACATCTGAGGCTCCATAATGTTGGAAGGGAGACATCTGTGCTTAGCTCTTTCACATCTCTTCACAAATGCTCTTTGGGTCAATGTCATGCTTAAAAAGTTATCCGTCACTCCAGACTGATGTCAAGAGAGCTCTGGAGCAGGTTTTTTATTCACCGTGTCTCTTTGCATTGAGCAGTCTGCCACTTACTTCTGCTAAAAAACATAGCCATGTAGGGATGATGGTGGCCTGGTGATGAGCAGTGCCTGGTTTCCCTAAAACATGAACCCTGGCATTCACACCAAAGACTTCAATGTTTGACTGATCTGACCAGATGTTTCTCATAGTTGATGGACTGCCATGTGCCTTTTATTAAGGAGATGCTTTTGTCTGGCCATTCTACCATTAATTGGTGGACTGCTGCAATGATTATTCTTCTTGAAGGTCCTCTCTCTTTACAGAGACTAAGGCCCTTCTGCTTCCTTGCTCAGTTTTAAGAATAAACCAGCGCTAGGAGGAGTTTTGATTGTTCCAAACAGCCATTATGCTCCCTGAGACCCTCGAAACATCTATCTGTATGCATTCCCAGACTTGTTTTTTGCACTCTGACATGCACTGCCAACTGTAGGACCCTACAGTATATAGAGGTGTGTGTGTTGTGATTTATTTTCAAAGTTGTACTCCAATAATTTGTAATAAAGCTGTAACATAACTAGGCTAAATGAAAAATATTAGTGAAAAAAAGGGAATATCTTCCAAATGTACTGAAGTTTGATGGTTGATTCTGCTATGCACTTAAACAAGATGCCAGGATCTTTGGAATAGAAATTGGAAGTACCTTTTAATAGTTTTTTTTTTTTTCCTGGAAGTTATTCCTTTCACCTTTTATCAACCTTTATTGGTTTTCCCTGACCGTTTCCACAGCTGAATCAAAAACAGAAGCATAGATGATGAAAGGGTAACCTCTCACCCCACACTAGTGTCTAGCAAGCTCTCCTTTATTGGTGGAAAATGTCAAATACACTTCCATCAAGCTATAAACAACTGAGATTTCCAGCACCATTTCTACTCACACTACGGTTTTTTAGGTTAATAAAAGTTTAATGGAAATATGTTGCTATAACAGATTTTAAAGGGGTGTCCTCGTTATGCTCTTTTGTTTTTTAACCCTTCGGAGGTGAGAACAAAGGACGAGCAGCTGCGCTCAGCATAAAACCAGCAGTTTTTGCCATTATGTTAAGATAATTTCACAGTGTTTTGTGCTGTGAAACTATTTTACAATAAATTCAAATTTGGAGGGAGTTTGTAACATTTTGATTCTACTAGGAGTGAGGAGTCTCCCAAAGGAGCCTTAACTTTACAAGTAGCAGTGCCTTGTCTCCTTAAAATCTCTTATTAAACCACAATTTTATTTTATATTTTGGAATTGTTTCTTAAAGATCTCCTTCACAAGGGGCTGTTCCCCAAAGCTTCAAGGTCAGTGTTCCAACCAAGGCAAAGTTCCTGTTAAAGCACTGACAATATATTGTAAATTTCACATCTATACTTAAAAGCTTTTGTTTGGGATTTCTCCCAAACATCCAGTGTGTACACACAGTCATATTTGATAAATAGGAATCTGGGTTTCAAAGAGACTTGTCACATTAGAAGTACCCCTAAAAAATAACGACCTTTAAGCAGTTATTAAACACTTTTCATCAAACCCATTTTTTTTATCTTTTTTTTTATTATTGATCTGATGTAATGTTTTAATATTCTTCGAGATGCAATGTAGTTTTATTAGTTGTTAATACAAAATCATCATAAATATTAGTAAAAAGCATTAGACTGAGGGACAAAGAGAAATTGAGCTTTATTTCAATTCATATTGACATTCTGGTAAACAAAAGGAGCCTGATCATTTGAAAGAAAGCTTGAAAAAACATTTCAAGCAGTTGACTGGCTAGATCATCATCAGCAAAATAAGCGACAGCAATGTTATGTCATGTATTTCACAATAGATGCTAAAGGCAAAGCAAGGCAAACTTATTTAAAGGTTCCCTGTTATTCTACATTTGAAAACACAAAATATTAACAATATACCCTCCAGACTATGTTTTTGTAGGAAAATTCTTCTCAGATTAGTCAGACAGCATGTACCAAAACCTCCTCATTCAGCCCTCCTCTGGACGAACTGTTTTGGCTTTCCACGACCCTGTCCTCGCGAAGGCCGCACCCCCCAACAACCCGCAACCATGACAACCACTTAGATTTTTTTGAAGATAGACTAGGCATGGGGAATGATACATAAGATAAAGACTGGAGCTTTACCGATGGGCTGTTAGATACTGCTCTGGACAGCTTTTTTCCCCTGAAGACATCATAATGGGCATGATTTTAGAACAGAGCATTTTGAGCACACATTAGCTAAGAGAGAAAGGCAGTAAGAGAGGGAAAAGTGTTTTTTTTTTTAAATCTATTTATGATCCTCATACAGAGGCTTCAGGACACACTTGAGTGTTACAAAGTCTTTATAAAGTTATTTTTGCATAATATGGAACCTTTAAATAACACATCTGAGTAGCAAGACTATTGAAAGTGCTGTAGATAATAGGAAAACTCACAGAGAACAGTTCATTGCAAGATAAGAAAAAAAAAATATATACTGTTTGTATGGTTAATCATAAAATGAAAGGAAGTTGAACAAAAAACTAATAAATGCCACTCTCAAGAAATCTTTTTTTAATCATGATTTAAAGCAACTTACTGTAGAATCTCAGCACTTTTCAATTTGTTGGGAAATCCTTCCAGATTAGTGTAGCAGAATACTGTAACTAAATTCTGCTTTTCCATGATTGGTTGAGTTAATTCAAAATAGGCCGCAACCAGAAGACCTAAGAGGCCTCGTTAATTGATACACTGACAAGTCTGTCATTTAAAACACATTAAATATTACAAAATAGATATAAAATTTTATAAAGCAACTTACATTTTTAAAATGCCCCAAATAATGTTATACCAAACCTTTTGTATTACCAACAATGAATGATGTTTGTATTAAGAACAACACTTCAGATTGACTAGTGATGAAGTTACTGAGTATCTTAATGTCACTAGTCAATCTGAACAAATACTTTGGAATAATACAGAAACATCATGACATCATGTAATCCTTACTGATGTTAGGGCTCATTATTCTTTTTTTAATGCTTTTTGTAAAGAGCATTTCATATAATCTAGAACAATCCCACCTTCAATGCGTGTGGCAATACTGAAATTGCTAAAAACAATGATTACTTAACCAACTAACTAAAGGCCCTGGAATTAAAGGTTGATATTTCAATGAAGACAATATATAACTGTAAATTAAACTAGAATTTAGTTTGATGCTATTTACACCTTTTCAACTCTGGAGGTTTCCGCTTACAGACAGACGAGAAGTCAGACAGATTGATAAAATGCTCACTATGAAATAACAAAAATGTCTTATCTTTGCTTCCTTTTATTTTGTTATTTTTGCAGGGAGCTCATTGACAGCTGGCAGCCAAGGGACAAGGCAAGGGACAAAACTGTTCAGTAAGCAAACAAATATGCTATCATTAACACTGCTGAATACATTAAGCATATTTATACAGTCCTATGTGTATGTTCATATCATGACTTAACCCCCATTCAACTTGAATTGCAAGTATATGGACAATGAAACCACAGTGAACCCTTAGTACATCGGTAAATTAATTTTATTTTTTTTAATAATCACATGTATTCTAACAGTTTTTTGATCATTGTCATTCAGCTACACATTAAAACTGTGTGCTAATCAATCTTTGATATGACATAAGATTATTATGCCTTTTTTAACCATTTGGGAATGCCCAGATGATAGATTTAGCCTCTTATTGGTCAGTTAACAACCAAAATCAAGTAATGCTTTAGGAAGAAAAGTAGAGATCTTCACAATTCGAGTTAATCCGTAGAGACATTTTCAAGATGCTTAAAGATTCAACCTTAGGTTTTTGAGATACCTGAAGATGCAACATTAGTTTTTTCAATCAGCCTATATACTATAGGAATGTTAAGTGTTTGTCTTGTTATGGAAGCAGCAGCTCTGTGTTGAGGAGAAGAAATTTAGGTACTTAAAAATCCTAAATATATGTGCTAATCCTGGAACAAAGGCATGGGAAGATGGCAAGACACTGTCTTTATCCACACCGAGTACTGTACTGGAACAGCCTCACCGACCAATCAGCAAGGAAGAAGTCAGTACTTAAATCAGGGAATAACATTTCAGCATTTGCAAATGCCCTTTAGAGACATATTATTTGGTGTGATGAAAATAGAGTTTTTTTTGTCTGGATATTGCGATCTTTGCTTCGTTTACATGAAAAAGGTTAAAGCTTGAGAAGTCTGAGGAAACCATCTCAATTATACACTACAGTGGTGGATGCATCATACTGTGTTTTGTTCCAGGTGTGAGTGATACACTTCACAAAATAAATGTAAAGGAATGTTTTAGTATGTGGAAATATTAAGGCAACAACTCAACATCAACCATAACGGTAAAGCTTAGGTATGTGGTGACTGGATCTCCCAAATGTATAATAACCATACAGTTAGATAAGTTATGAAGTGGCATAAAGACAATGTTCATGTTTTCAGTAGTTGTTTTCAAAGATGTGTGTCAGGCAACTTGCGAGATTGATCCAGTTTTGGAAGGAGGAATGGGCCAAAATACCACAAATGAATTGGACAAAATCACCTGAGTAGCCTTGTTGAAAATGAAAAGAAAAATAAAATGAGTAAAAAAGAAAAAAAAATGTTTTCCTGAATTCAAGAGTTTACTTATCAGTCTATTTGTATTTTTGTTTGCCTTACTTGACAATTTTTTTTCTGTGATTATTACACTATATTTTTAGAATTTATATGAATCTAGATATCTAGTTTTAATCTTAAATTGAAAACCATGTCTATTTTTACATACTTTTTTATTGTCACTCTTATGGTCATGTCATTGAGCACCTTAAAATATTGTGGAAAAAAACTGAAAAAGAAACACTTTGGTAAATCATCTGTTTTTTATTTACTAATCCTACTGTCAATACGTTTGTTGTTTCCATCTTAAACTGTTACTAATTGGAATGGTAGGAATTTTGGAAAATTCCCGAAAGAAGAACTGACAAAGGCTACAAACCAAAGAGGTTTTATTATCTTATTTCAAGCCAGTTTTATTTCCAGCTCTCTTACCGTCATGTCTTCATTATCTCTCAATTACTCACTCTGTTAGGATTCTGTGGAATTCATAGGCTGATTATTATTCCCGCCGGTGCTGCAGAGTCTGGCTACTGGGCCCACTCAGTGCCACAAAACACTGAAGTCATGTGTTTACCCTGGCTTTGGCCTGGATAGCATGGAGAACAGTGGTTCAAAACAGGCATAACGTCAGGGTATTCGGGAGTGAGCCACAGCAGCCAGAATAAACAGCCCCAGTAGTGTTGGAGCAGAGGAGTAGGCTCGGCTGGTTGTTTGTGCTATAGTCACTGAATCCTTCACTTACATGTTTAGGAGCTGGAAGTGAATGTCCTGACAGCTTTATATGGCTCTTATGGTACCACTCAGGTACACCGAGCTAGTGAAAGCTGTGGAGAGAGTGAGTTATGAAATAAGTAAAGGAGAGACAGAAAACGTGTGTGGAAGATGATGGAACATATGGCTCCACTCGAAGTTGACTAAGATAGACAACCATTGTGTTCAGGTATGCTTTGCTGCTCTTTAATGGCCTGGATCGCTTTAAGTCGAGCTGCTTTTACTAGGCCATAAATCTTTTCATGTCCTCTCGCAGCCTTTGAGATTCACAGCAGTGTTGTTGCTTATATATTTCCAATTTGCTCTGTGCTTTTTCCCTAAGATTTGCAATCATTTCAGACAGATTATCAGTACCTCTTCATATACTGACAACGGCAAAGAAAACAATCTGAATTCTATTAGTTTTAGTGAGGTGCCGGTACAGTAGGAGCTGACTTTAAAGAGACAGTATTGTCTTTAATTTTATCTTATGAACCTTGTAAATAATTAGTACCAGCTAAAATGTGCTCATTGCATGTTTTCTGATTTATACAATGAATATTTCTGAAATGAATGTGTGGCCTTAAGTAAAAGGCATTGCAACCCTATATTTTGACTTGGCTAAAGTTGGTAAAACTGGAGAACACAAACGGGCCTGTGCCAGAATTATAGTTTATCTTCCAGAACTAATCCGGCACATCCCTGAAACTTTCCCAGAATTAATCAGCTGTTTTCTTGGAACCTTTCTTGAATTTACTTTGTGAAACTTACCAGGTACTTTCCCGGATTTTTTATTGCACTTTCAGAGATGAAGAACCAGAGAAGGCTGTTTATTTTGTTTACCACATTTTAACAATAGGACAATCTTAAATGCTGTGGACTACAACTTTGACTCATAATCATTCAGTTATAGTTTAAATTAGAATAGTCAAAAGCAACTCTAAATAAAAAGAGTTTTAGGATTGATTTAAAGCAGTGATTCTTCAAATGGGTGACGCCTATTTTGCAAAGGGGGCATGGTATATTTGAATTGCATAAAGTATTACATATATGTAATTGAATAAATTGAGATATATTACATAATAGAAAATATATACTGACAGTGATGTTGTATTCTATTACACAGTAGAATAAACAAACCGAAAATACTTATATCTTTAAGGTGGTAGTTTTGTTTTTTAAAGGAGATTGTAGTTGACTTGGGGGATATGAGGGATGACTTTTCGTAAACCTAGGGGGGCCCAGTAAGAAAACCTTGGGAACTATTTAAAAGAACTAAAGATTTTAGCACCCTTTGTAGACTTCTCTGAGGTTTTTCAAATATGTTGAACTAAAAACTTTCCTCCATATTTGGTTTTGTTATGTATATGCAGAACATAAGATTTCTAGGTGTTACTACACTGACAAAAAATCTGGCATGTTTTTTTTTTCTAAGCCATTCAGTGATTTATAGATTAAAATAAGTACTTTAACATCTATCGTCTTAGATATGACGAGTTGGTTGATGGACTTATGGGCTGAGGTGATGTGCTCCACTTTCTACATATTGGTGAGGTTGCAGGCAGCACTCTGGAACTGCTTCTGTCTGAATGATTTTAATTCTTTGATTTTTGTGCAACCCTTGAAGACATCGTTAGAGTAATCAGTTTGACTTAAAATAAAAGCATGGAGGAGTTTTTCAGGGTCCAGCAAGGACATTTATGCTTTAATTCTGGAACTGTTCTTTAGGTGATAAAAGGCAGACATTGTACATGTCCCTCTCACCCTCTGAAAGTTCAGGTATAGGTGGATATTTTCTACAATTTAACATGTAGTTTCCTATAACTTTCAAAAAATCCAACAGCTGGATGTTAATAAATCTGAGTTTACTTTCTGAAACATATGAGGAACTTGTAGAGCTGTCATGGCACTTACCAGATACTTTCACAGAAATTAAAGATCATTTCTGGAACATCAGCCAGGTACCTTGATGGATTTACTGGAAGTTTAGGTACCTGGATCTAGTTCAGTACTTTTTAGGAACTTGGAGGTAAATCTCCGGGAGTTGCCTTTTATTGTGGAGAACCTATCATTTAGTTTCTTGAAACCTCTTGAGAGAAGTAACCAGATGTTATGAAAGTTCATGGAAAGTTCCAGAGATGGCTCAGTAGGCCCCAGGGAATTAACCAAAAGAGTCCATAAAAATGTTACTGAAATACCTGTTAAATCCCAGAAAGTTCTTGGTAAGTTCTGGAAAACATCTTCTAAGTTCTGGAATGCAACCTCTGGAAATGTATTGTCCAGTCATTTTTATATAGATTAGAAAGTAAGAACAATTATTTTATGGTGTTTTTTTATTTATTTATTAGAACTGCTGATTAAATGCTTTGGTCGTAAGGGTTGTGAGTGTCAGCATAAGCTCATAACAGTCATTGGACACATCAAAGAAGGTTTCAGTATGTTTAAGTGTGTTTTGTGTTCTCTCTGGCTCTGTCTGCAAAGTGGAAATAGAAGAATAGTGTTACTAAGTAGGCTTGGGACCTGAGCTGAAAGTCTGTTAGAGAGCCCAGACATGTCCTTTTAGAGCCAGAAAGCTCAGATCAACACATTCAAGGATAAATAGGAGCAGAAGTTGCAGAGAACATTTTAAGATGACAATTTTCTTTCTGAGATAAGTGCCTTAAAAACTAATCAATTCTTTTTTTCACTAGCTATAATCTTTAGTAGGTTGTTGTCACCGTATACTGATGTTGTACAATTCCCAGCTCTCTAGCCAAGTGTTTTTACTGGCTGCTCCCAGGTGAGTCAGGACGATTTGGTGGTAGGCAGGATCTACTTTCAGGTCTTTTATCACAAGTGGGGCCAATGTGTCCAGGGAGAGGCTTGGTAGCTTTTTGTTGTTAATGGCAGAGATAATATCCTCAGTGACCGGGAAGAGAAGAGAAGGAGAAACAGTCAGAGCTCTGGAGCCTGGTAATTGCAAAGGCAATTCATGGGCACTAATATCACTCGGCCCTGAACAAAAGAGACAGTTATCTTAGCTAAAGAGAGAAAAAAGCATGACTTCAGTAGAAAGGGGTGTCAAAAATAACTGCATATTTATTATTATAACAGCTTTCAATGTAAAAAGATCATGATGTGGATTTTTTAACTACATATAACAAAAAAAAAAAAAAATCAAAGCATCAAAGCAGAACTAGATACATCTTATACCTAATCATTCCTAAAATCTTTCCAGTAATTTCATTATTTAGATTTCAAGAAATAGCACTACATGTATGTATTTATTTGCTCAGTAAGCTATTCAAAGGGGCTAAACTCTGACACAGCCATTTCATCTGTCACATAAGTAAAATAGCAGGCGCATTCCATGTAGTGTGTTTGCTTTGATGAATATGAGTTGATATTAACAAGAGATGTTAATTTGGATCCAGTTACTTTTTTAATTCAGGTCGGGGTATGAATTGGTTTAGTGTTGTTTGTTTGTTTAGTCTGTGAAACTGATAATATTGTAGCAAAGGATTTAGGGAGTTTGTCTGAATAAAGAAGCTACTTCAACACTGTGGTCAGTTAATAGTGTCCAAAGGGTAGGGATGCATACAGGATACAACATTGGTAATTATGGGTCATTAGCCATAACTAGCCTGGCCAGCCAGATGGACTTACACAGAGCATAAGTTAGTTTTCTAAAGCTCAATACTCTCTGGTATACAACAGACCAGTTATAATGTGGGCAAATAATGCAACAGCATTTTTCTGTAACCATGACAGTCAAGATTATTGCTGCAAAAAAGCAATGTCTTAAATATGTCATTTGTTAAGTCACAAAGGTCTTTGTTTATATCATTAAAAACTGAACAACTGGCTGCCATAAGAGCTTTTCTTTAAAAACGGATGTTTTACTTCACGTACATGGATATAGTATCTTATTAGTTTTAAACAGATTTTGTTGACTGTTAGTTTTCATTACCAATTTTTATTAATTCTCCATATTTGGGATGATAGTAGATTAGGACCTAAGAGGGAGACTGGCTGGTTTGGTTTAGATTATTCTAATTCTGATTAACATATGTGTACTTGACTTCACAAACTAAGAACATTTTTTTCCCCCAAGCATTTTTGTCATTGTTGATTCATGAACTAGGAGGCTTGCAGTGGTTCAGATAAATGTAATGTCTTCTTCTTTTGAAGTGATGACTATATGTTGTCCAGAAGACCTTGGAAACATTAACTGTTGTTTATTCTATGTCCATTTTTGGATAATGGCTCTCGCTATGCCTTAGTGGAGTCTGAAGTTCTTGGAAAGGGCTTAATAAGATTCCCAACACAAGATCTTTCAGCTTTCTTCATGTTGTCAGACAGGTGCTGTCGAAATGACTTCATAATTGTACAGGCCATGCAGTAATTACAGTAAACCTATGCCTAAAACACAGTTAATTACAGGTAATTCGTGATTGAACAAGGGATGCTATCCTTTTTCTGCATAGGATTTCCATGAACAGCTTTTAAATCTGTAGTAATTTAAAGCCACTGTTTAAATGACAATTTTGATGTTTTGTATAACTTCATTATTTTTTGTGGAATATTAACATTTACCTGGAAAAACAAAAAATATATATATTTTATGGGATTTATTATTTTTTATGCTCTGTAAACTTCATTCAGTTTTTTTAAATGTCCGCTACAGTAAAACAACAAAAAAAAAAAAAAACGTCCCCCTTGTTTTCTTCATCTAACTGCAGACCACTTCAGTCCGAGTAACTCTTACTCTCCTTTGCCCGTTTCCTTCAAAAACTGGACTTTTTAGGAAAACTGCACAAGCACCACATCATTTTAGGGGAAATATTTTAAGTAATTATGGGTAAGATGCCAGTTGATGAAAACATCATGGCTGAACTTCAACTTACTGAGTGGCGTGAAAAGTGGTGTGCATGCAGAGAAAAATACAGAGGATTTCCTTTCTCTGCAGTTTGAAAAAAAAGTATTATAACTATTATATATTAGAGTGACTCTGTGTATTTTGTTTGTGTGCAAATCATGTCTTTTGGTATTTTTATTTAGGAGTACCTGTTGTAGAGAGTCCAAAGGAGCTGTGTAATACGTTGTTGGAGAATTAGCACCAAACGTACCAGTAATATTATTAAAATGTCAACATTATTTTTTGCATGTATTTATTTTCTATGAGGAAACAGTTTGTGATCTTGGGGACTATAAGACATTTTCTGTAAAGTAGAAACAACAACAATACTAAATATTATTTAAAGCCTCGGATTGAAATTCCTGTTAAAGTGGTGGTATTGTTTCTGCTGCAGGATCTGCTCACATGGAGCGTAACCTCTGATTTATTGACTGTGAGATGAGATCTGATGCATTTAAGTTTAAACAGCAAACCTAGCTGTAAATACTTCACAGAAGTCTTTAGAGTAAAATCAGATGGACCTCTAATTCACTGCTTACATGACCATCACTGACAAGGAAGCCCACCTTTGTGACTCCGCCCTCACCAGCTCAGAAACTTCTTCCCATCATAAGAACACAACATCATGTAGGCCATAAAGTTGAGGAGATGGTCCTTCACTAGCCTACTTAATTTCATATGTAGAATTTGAATTGTAGAGATGTGCGCTGCAGAGCCACACCTTTCATGCACAATCAGAGCTTTAACAGGGTTCAGATGGACGCCTGTTTTCATTTGACAGTCAGGCCATCTGTATGCAATCTGGGCTCCTTACCCATCCCCTTTTCTTCCAAACCCTTCCATCTTTCTTTCTTCTATTCTTTTCTTTCCTTTCCACCCCCACCACCAACATTTCTGACTGATGAACAAGCAGGACACTTTACTGGGCAGTTTTGGCATGATTGCAGAACAGATCAGGATGTTTAAGGCTTGCTTTAATGTAGTATAATATGTATTATGAGACCAGATACGGTGTGAACATACATTATTCATATTTATTTAACTTGGTCCCATTTGGTCATGTTCAAAGAATCTCCTCAGGAGCTCAGCTTATCTTTCCTCTGAGGTTTGTTACAGAACATTACTGAATTAATAGCAAGACCTGGGTGTTCTCCTAAACTGGCTGGATGGGAAACTGGCAAAAAGAAGCAATTACTGAAGGAAATTGCAGAAGGAAAGACATAAAAGCTTAGTTTAAAGATTGCTTTAAACTATGCAAAGTGCTGGCAGTGTTTTAGTAATAGCCGAGTAAATTAGCCCCACCCACCAGCGGCCAAAATCATTTTTGCCTGCGAGTGGTCTAGCCTCGATCAATGGCCCAGGCCCTAGAACTGGCGGGCCAATTACAACGCAGAGATGTTTTTTGAATTTTTGGATCCAAAGCAGGCGGTTTTTGAGGGCATGACGACAAAGCTGTGTGACGCTGGAGGAAGAACAACAAGGAAGATGGCAACTACCATTGAACAGTTCTTGTTTGACTCAGCTGGAACCAGTTTAGGAAGGATTAGACTTGGGGTTTTTGTTGAAACGAGAGCAGGAAGAGGCGCTACGCTCATTCATTTTTGAGAAGGACATATTCTCTGTTTAACTGACAGGCTGTTTGTTTACACTTCCCCACCAGCTTCCTGTCATACATCCTAAGTCACAGTCAGTGGCACTCATTGGTCAGAGCGTTGGCCAATAGGCACGGACACGATTTGATTAACAACGGGTTGTTCTCATCAACAATTTTCCAATGTCTCATTCATCTGGGCCAGACTAAATTACACATTTAATCTCACATTTAGTCTGGTTTATAAGGCTATTTTAGTAACAGAATCCCCAGCACTCCTTTTAAAAATGTGATTTACAAACAATTTATAACTGTAGAATGATTCTGATTTTGTTTTTCTAAATTCATAAGGTTGTGCCTAACTGCGCAGCAGAAATACTGCTTCATCCGCTGTCTTTAACATGTTCTACTCTTCCTAAAGTTACAGCTCAGCAAACAAATCCAAAAGGCAAAAAACATCTGCTTTCTGATTGGATTGTTAAATATATGATTAATATGAGGCTGACCAATCAGATTAGAGGGAAAAAAATACGGTAAACATTGCAACTTAATTTGAAAATTACAACATTGTTTTACGTTTTATTGTTATGCTTTGTTTCTGTAAACAGACCTTTACAAAAAAAGTTTGTAATGTGTGTAATTTTTCTTTTTTTTAAACAAAATATATATGTGATACTTGTACATAAATCCCTATGGAGGTACAAAGATTATATTCTCTGACATTTTGGTTAACCTTGAAAACATTTAGAACTACACATTCTAATTTACAAGCACAGCATATACAATATATGATTAAAATCTGTGCCCATACAAAAATTTCATTCCTAAATGGGCAACACTGGCATTAACATACCCAGACGACTTGCAGCTATTGTAGGGAAAGGTGGTTCAACAAAGTTTGACTCGATGTTATGTGAAAAATAGCTAAAAATTTCCTTTGTAAAATGTCTAAAAAAACACTTATCTTTTTTCTTTCCTCTTCATCGTTTATGCACTCGTATTGTTTTATTATAATAAAATGAAATGAAAGACATTGAAGTTTTTTTTTTTTCATTTGAAAAGAGGTCGCTGTATAGAAAAGCTATGGGTTGATGTTCTGAAGCTTTTTATGATATAACTTAAAACGGCTCTTATTTATGTTTCTAAATAAAATAAAATGTATTTTCTTTAATTGTATAACATTTCAGAATAGTAGTTGGTCTGGGCAGGAGGTCCACAACTGACTCAACATTTATTAACTGACTTATTAGATGAAATGGACATTTTACTTAAGCACATTTCATTCAAAGCTAGCACTTGTCCACTTTAAGTGTGTCATATCTTGCAAAATCTGTGCAGAAAATGAGTCTTAACGCTAAATTCAGCAACTTCTCCAACATCTTGTTTCTTTGTCTCAGTAGGCCGTCTGGTGTGAAGAGAGAAGGAGCGAAGCGGCTGAAAGGAGAGCAGAGGGGACACAGGCGAAGCACCTGCACGCTTCCTGACGGGAAGTAAAGACGGAGCAGAAAAATAAGGAAGTTTCTGAATAAAAAAAAAAGAGAGAAAACAAGAAAAGCAGCAAAGCGGCGCCAAAATATTTGCACTTTTTCCTCCCTATGTCTGACATATTTCTTGCTTTTACATGTTTTTTATTTTTTATTTTGATGTGACTGATAATTCACAAAGTAAGAATGAGAATATATTTGTAAAGAGACGATAGGCTCACCACTGGAAGAGCATGTATGAGTGTTTCCTCTCCCCTGTATGTTAAGTCTGCTGTTTTGATTTGTTCAGTCCATGTTCTAATCCGAGGCCTGTCCAAATAAAAGGTACGCCCCCTGTCTGATGAGCAGGCAGATCAGTAGCAAATCTTAAAGTTCGATCTAACTGTTACCTGATGAAGACCCTGAATAACTAAAAGTGGTAAATTTTGTTTGCCTGAAACATGCAATTTTAGCTAAAACGCACACATGTCCAATAAGTGTAACTACCATTTAATAAAATCCATGAATTCCCTCATGCTGCATGGATAATTTAAGATGCATTGGATTTTTGCAACAAGAAAACATATGTTTTCCATAAATATATTATGCAAGAACAAACTAGCTGTAACTACTTAAATATACCGCCCTAAAACTACTGCAAGACAGCTAAGCTTTCTGAAAAAAAAAGAAAACTTAACAAACAGTATGTTCTCCAAAAGTATAAATAGACAAGGTCAAGAAACGACACAGGCGCTGTAGTAGTGTAGCATATTAAAATGTTTTTTTTTTTGTTGTTGTTTTTTTTTCTTAGACCTAACAAGTGCAATGTTAAAGCAACATACCAACCGCAAACAGGACAAATGCCATTATGAAGGGATTATTTAAATTGGAGGACTGAAATTTTTTGTTTAAGAATTAATTCACACACAACAGCTGTAATATTTCACCTACTTCCATCGTCATTTGATTAAGTTATAACATTGCTGTGTATCATTGTGATTTAAAGACAAACCGACATGCATCACAAGGAAAATGATACATGATTTTACCATAATCTAGAAATAGAAATCGGAAAAGTGTGCATGTTTGCTCTGAGCCCCACTCCCTTAATTGAATACTTTGTTGAACAACCTTTTTTCTCCAATAACAGCTGCAAGTCTGTTTCAGTTAGGGAATGGTGTTTACAGGGTGATGGGGTGCGGTTTTCTTGAACATATCTTCTTTAGCTATTGTTTTAACTATTGACACTGCTTTAAATAATTTCCTTGGCCTTTATGCTGTGGTCTTGATGATGCTGATGGTTAACTTACAGTATGTTCTCTAGTGAGTCCCGAGGCCCTCAAAGGATTTTTAAATGTTAATTAGGTGACATCTTAATCAGGATCAGAATTACCTTATTAATTGCTTGCAGAAAATTATTTTCCTGCAGAGCATCCGTTTACAGAAGAGATGAATAAGATTGTAAGTAAGTAAAGCAAACCATTGGATTTTTATTCAAGAGTATCAGAGTAAAGGGGGGATGAATATAAATGCAAACCACATTTTTCAGTTTGAGAACCATGAATCTTTTTTGCTTCCATTTCATGCTGATGCAGAACATTGTGTTGATCCATTGCAATAAAGGAAATTGAAATCTGAGGTTGTTAAGGGTGAAAACTTTGAAACATTTAATTAATATAGCGAGACACCTGGGTTCGTTACCTTGGTGAAATTTCAGCATAAATTTTTACATGAAATTGTAATTTGTCCAGTATTAGGCTAGGTAACATCAAATGATTCCTTGTCCATTTATTGATTTACAACCTTATAAAGTAGAATTTTGAACTAATATGAACATCAGGTTTTTGAGAAATGTTCGTTTAAAAATCAAAATTGCTGATCATGGTTTACAATAATTCAAATTTATCAGCTACCTCTGGAAACTAACCCTGCCAGGTGATTGAGTCTCTTTCAGTCGGTAATGATTTAGGGTTTTCACAGGTGCAGAAATAGATTTTATATATTTGTGTTATTACTAGAGGATGAAATAAAGGTTCAGCTAACAAGGTTAGTGAGTTAAAATCAATTACAGCAAAAGTAAAATCTGGCATGCACAGACTTCACTTCATTTTACAAATACAAACACATTTTATCTGCAGTGATAAAGTTATAGTTTGTCACAGAAGCAGCTAATGTCTGTGTTTGTCCTACAATCAACCAGGACCCTCAGGATCAAATCTGTCCCACTGTAGATATAAAAGCAGGAACCTATGATTGGGAAAAGAACAGATCAGGGAGGGGAAGAATCTTTCAGGAATGTCAAGTATAAAAATTCCTCTCCGCATTTGGGAACAATTGGGTTTCAAAGTTGGAGAAAAAAAAAAATAAATGCCTTCACTGCTGAGTTCTGAAAGCTTGTGTATTTGTTTGAGTTGTGTTTTTTTTTTTTTTTTTCTTCCCACGACTCTGCAGCGTCTAATGAACATGAAACAGAGCAGGCTTTTGTTGTAAATATGTACGATAACCTTTGTTTGACAGTTTTACTAAATCTCACTACAGTGGCATAATTTCATGTACTCCACTGTCTGCATAGCTTCTTGTAAAACACATCCTTTTCTGTTTGTTTACCTCATGTCAAACATTTGGCTTATTGAGTAACTCATTCACATTTAAATCCATGGACTGGTCTGTTTATTTTATCTCTGCTTTGCTTGTTTTACTCCTTCAGTTTGTGTCCGTCTTCATCACTGCTCACCAACAGGAATGTATACAGCATCTGGTGCTTACTTCACTACAATCATAATTCCAGTTATTTTCTAAGCTGAACTGAACCTAATGCTCCAAGAATGATAGAATAATTATCTCATCCTTCCTTGAGTCCTGTGCAATCTCTTGAATTGCCTTTTTTCCCCCCACATCCAGGTTAGAAACACAAACCTTTTGTATTTCTGCTGAAGTGGTTCCAGACGCCAGCAGGCTGCAGATTTTTTGGAACATCCTAAACAAACCAATGAGCTAATAATCAGCATCGATGTCAATGGGATGTGTGTATGTGTGTGTGTGTGTGTGTGTGCATGTGTGTGTTGGTTGCTGCTCTTCAACTTCAGTTTTAAAGATAACTCTCAATCAAAGCTAAAGGATAAACAAAAAACAAATGTAAGTAAAACCCCTTTTTGGAGCTGGTCATTAAAGTTTGATTTAATGAGAAGAGGGTTAAAGCCTTACAACAGGAACAAACACCTGTTCTAGTGTGTTATCCCCAAAGTAAAAATAAAAATAATAAATACAGCGTTGGTTCAATGATGTTCATAAATTAAAGATTTGTTTCAATCATGCTTTGTCAGGACAGTGGAAAGAGGTTTAGAGATAATGGACTGCAGCAGTCGGAGGATGAAGCGAAACACTTCCTCCTAGTGGAGAGGATGGGCAACTGCACTCCTAAAACAACGTACAATTTCTAATATTCTTGCAAATTTTCTTTCTTTTCTTTTCTTTTTCAAATTTGAATCCCAGTTTCTCGGTTATAAACAAACAAAAACCCTAATTATGTTTTTTAAACAGTTTTAAACAGTTTTCCGATTTTTTAAAATACCCTTACTCATTTAAATTAGTTGAATTAGCCTATATCTAACTTTAACATTTATTTCCTAATTTAGGTAGCTTAACCATGTTTTAAAAGAGGAGACATAAAATCTGATTTATGATGAGGTTAATAAGTGAAATAGTGATAAAGGAATTATTTTGAACATGTGTCATCACATATTTGTAATAACAACCATAGTTCAGATGGGCTGTTTATTGAATTGACAATGTTTGTCCTGTGGAGAAGAAGCAAAGCTCTAAAATATGTTAGCATGCTTCGAACTTGAATTTAGGATGAATTCTAGTGCTAAATGAGCTAAAGATGGATAAAATAAATCAATAAATTCCTGTTCCAACAGTGATTTATTTATGTCCTTACTGTTCTCTGCTGAATTCTAAACATTACAAATGATGCTAAAAGTTTCCTCAATCATCATTCTTTAGATGTATTTTTTTATATAATCATTTTGAACATTTCTTCTCTAATTCCAGAAGGAATACATATAGTAGCTAATAGATTACAAAATACAAATAATACAAATGTATTAAGAAAAAACCCAGAAAAAAAACAAACTTTATCCATTTTCACTAGGCTCTTTATAACAAAATTCTAAAAAAATCAAAAATGCAAACATTTACCGACAACATACTGACTTATATACTTTGAATAAGCCATAGCTGCTTTAAATCTGTCTGCTTTGCTACTATGAATTCCCATAAAACCCTCTCTCACCCTTTTCGTAAAAATGAAATACAATAATCTGCTGGATAATGTTTAGGTTGTTTTATTAAAAAAAGCCACGAAACTTAGAAATAACGTTATAGATTGCTAACAGTAAAGCATTACTCCTTTATTTATTTTAGCCTTAACTGGTCAGAAGTGGTGACTGCATTAGTAACGCTTAAAACAAAATCAAGAAGTTAAAAAATAAATTTATTTTTTTCACGTATCTAATTCAGATATATATACAGATCCCACATTAAATATAAATCAGATCTAATCTTATGTTTTTTTTTGTGAAGATCCAACTCACCAAATGCTGCAAAAATGATTAAAAATATAAAAACTCATAGCTTTTCTTTTTTCAGTCAGTGAGCTGTTTGAGATGTATTGTCTAAAAGCTAAAAATAGAGGCTAAAATCATTTCTAGTGTTACTATAACCTCTCTGGGATAATACCAATTAAGCAAATTCTATTTTTGACATTTATTTGCGCGTCTGATTTAGTGACGAGACTTCAAAGATGCGGATGCTGTCTGTGTGTGATGGAGCTGAGGTTGCTGTGATAAGTGTGGATTTGTGCATTGGGGGGGGGGGATAGGCATCATAGCTGAAACTGGAGCCAGGAGGCAGCTGCAGTACATCTGTCTTGGAATGACACATGTGGCATTTGACTTCCAGTGTGAGGTTCAAAAGAGTTTTATAATGACCCAGCTGTTTAAGACTGTTTGTGTCAGTGGGAGTGGTTTTGTGGGGGGTAGCTTTTCTTGAGAATGGGTAGAGTGTAGGTGGGTTGCCGTCGGGTTTCACAATTGACGGATGGATCAGAGCGTAGAGAGGGGTGTGTGGGCAGTCCAGGTGCAGGATGATGTTTTAGGGAAATTTAATTGTTTGTTAGCTTGCAAACACTGACCAAACCAGCAAAAAAAACAGCACTGAACAACTATAAAATAAATTTATGTCTGTATGATTATAAAAATTGCTCCACTTGCTTGTCCTTTTACGATTTTAACACCATTTTCAGCTTCATACCACAAACCAGTATTTGATCAGAAATCGTATGGTAGACCTACAGTTTTGTATTAAAACTAATAATGTGATAACTGTGAATAAACTTAAACTGTGCCCCCTTTCCATTAATATCCCTAAATAAAACTTCATGAGTGTGTTAATCACAGAAGCATGCAGATAACTCAGAAAGAGCTGCAGAGAGTTTCAGCTAAGTGGGAGAATCTGTTTAGGAACAGCCTGTGTTTCTGCTGCGTACTCACAAAATCTGGCTTTGAGAAGTGACTAGAAAGTCCAAAAAAAAAAAATCTTTCAATGTTTGCCTCTGGCCGTGTACTGGAAAAATCTCAGAAAAAAAAAAGAAAAAGCAGATTAATCTGATGAGACAGATACAGTACAACATTCTGTGTCCATGACACAGCTAAGCATGGTGGAGGCAGCATAATATTGGATGCTCTTTATCAGCAAGTAAATTGAAGCTGATTAGAGTTTTAGGTTATCTTAAAATGGAGACACATTTATAGAATCATGTGAGAAAACCTGTTAAAAGCTGCAAAAGACTTGAGACATCCAGCAGGTTAAGACCACTGAATAATCTGGATGTGCAGGTGCTAAACAGCCCAAATAATGTGTGGCTGTAGAGTAAAAATTATTTTAATGGAATATCTAAAAAACAGTGATTCACCATGTATAGGATATTCTATGATACAATATAAAAACCTGTAACATACATTAAAGTTTGTGGGTTAATGTTGCAAAATAGGCTTTGAATACTCACAATGTGCTCTTACTGAACAAGACTCAATAAACTGGTTTCAACAAGTATAACAACATGGCAAACTATGAAAAGGATAAAAAGCTATAAATAAACAATTTGTTCCTTTTAACATGGTTTAGAATTTAGTGTTCATTCCAAATAGCCTCCACCAACTCCCCAGATGTTCTGGTAGGGATGAGCAGAACTGCTTCATAATTTCCTGTCTTTTTTTTTTCTTCTCTTTTTGTGCATTGAAACACTTAGAAACAGATGAAGAACCCTATTACAGGTAATTGAGAGAGAGCCATTAGTTTGTACTGTGTTTAGGGTGTGGGAGGGTGAGTGGTGGGCTATGCACTGCTAAAAATCGGTGTCTGGTGCCCTCTGCGCCCCTTTTGACTGCAGCACCTGGCCAGCTGTCGGAGCGCCAGGGGTCATGGCGGGGGATCCAGGGTCGCCTACCAGGAGGCCAGTACCAAGGGGTGAAAGGTCACATTCCAGTCAGGCGTATCCATTAGCTGATTACAGACTCAGCTGCAGGAAAAGAGTCTGCAGGTGGATGATGGATTAAACCACATAATGAAAAGTACTCCTCTTTCTTTTTTTTAATTAAAAATATAAAACTCTTTACAGGTTTAACTCAAATGATTAATTCTTACATCATTACTCAAGAGACTTTCCAAAGTCTAAAATGTGCACTATATCTTATTTAAAAAAAATAAAATCTAAAAATGTAATTATTAATTATTATTTTTTTTTTTTTTTAGCAAATGCAAAAACGTGAAAAAAAAAAATTAGATTGAATATGTCAAAAGTCTTAATGGGTCTATAGAAAAACTTGCAAATCATATAAACTAAACTCACATTGGCAACAAAAGTGTGAATATTTACCAGTGAGAAGTGAATCAAAAAGAAACCCCAATACAGAAAGTGGCACAAACGAAAACCCAGGTGGAAAAATAAGCCTAGTCAGGTAACTGATGCATGACAAAAAAAAAAAATTATATATATATACCGTATATATATATATATATATATATATATATATA